ATATATGGAAAGTACTTAAGTATATGTATATAAATGAAAGCAAATCCAGTATTAAGGTTCAGTCTGTTTTTGAGCTAACTCAGAGTAAGTTCATTCAATCAGAAATGATTTATGATTTTTAGAACGTAAAAGAAGAAGAAAGTAAAAGTGAGATCAATAACTAAATCCGAAACATAATATAATAAAAATAAGAGGAATGAAATTTTAAGTTGGAGGAATCAGTGACAGCGGCCTTTGACATTTTTAAAATGTGTAAATTTAAATGCTACATTTTTCTTTCATCCTTACCCGCATAAATAAGCACATAGCTACGATTTATCTTTTAACATTGTGCCTTTTTTTAAACAAAATATATTTAAGGATCAATCCAAGGCGTATTTAACAAGGTGGTGTTGGCCGTATATAAGTAAAAAATTACGCTGATGTACATACTGTCATTGGTATGAGTTACAACAAACACATCATTTTGACGTAATGGCCTCCACGGCGAAAAACTCAGCTGTCGCCCCAACACCACCTTGTTTAATACACCTTGGATCAATCCTATGATGTACGTTTTTCTCAACCGAACCAGTGAAAAATTTATTTAAACTGAGTGTATGAAATTTTGCATACTGCATATTAAACAGGACTTTTCACGGCTTTTGAATACTAACAAATAAGTACAGTGCAAAATTTTGTAATGAAAATTGTGAAAACTGCATTGCGAAGTAAGTGCTTAAAGTTTGTGAAACCGTTTTTTTTTTGAAAGGTTGGCCATACTTTATTTATGGTTTATATTTTTCGATCGACACGAAATGCAAATTTCATTTAATTAACTACGAAGCTATTCCTAATATACTTCGTTCGCAACAATTCGGATTCAGCGATAGCATTTTGCATTCAGTGATAGATTTCAAAACATCGGACCACGATGGATTCTTTTTCGTCCAGATAATGGGTTAAAATCGTAGGATTTCAAAATTACACTTTCGTATGTACGTATATATTTCGTATACGTATATACGTGTACGTATACATTTCGTATATACGTGTATACGTATATATTTCGTATATACGTATATATTTCGTATACGTATGAAGTATATATACTTTAATTTTAATCAGTCAATGAATTTTTCAATTGCCAACGATTTCAACACGTTCGTCTTTCAGAGCTTGTCAGAACATATCCCTTTTACTTTTATTGAAATATCGTATTTGTTCATCAATTGGGTTTTTTGTTAATTTTATTACCTTTTTGTCTCAAAGAAAAAATTATTTTAAAAGGGGGTTTTGATTTTTGCTTACAATAACCACATAATTTTCTTGGTTAACAAAGGTTCCGATCCCGTACGATTACGAATTTGTCAGAAATATTCAGAATTCGTCCAGAAAATAGTACTGTAGATAATCAGCCTTATCATGAGCTTCTTTTTTCCGGAATCGTTCTTTTCTAGCTTCCGTAGATTTACCGGGTAAATGAATTTTCACGGGGTAAAAGTGGAATTTTCAATATTTTCAAAACCTTATATTTAAAACTAATAAACCGATTCAAAATGTGGATATGGTTGGAAAGGTAATCGAAAGACCTTTCTTTTGATATATACATATATCCATATATATTTTTTTTACATACATATTTCGACAAAAACTAAAAAAAAATAATTATGACAATTTTTGGAAAAAAGTACAATTTTTCTCGGGAGAATTTTCCAATACGGAACCAGGCTTTGAAAAAAATAAATAAAAATGAGTGGTGCAGAGCGGATCCACCTGATTCTAAAACCGAACCCCCTCCGAAGGCTTATAGTTTTTAGGTAATTTGCATATAAAGTTGCAAAAAATGTAAAATTCAGCCTCACTTTGCTTTGTAGACCAACAGAACTGAAATGTCAGTACTGCCACACAAACAAATGCCCAAAAGAAAAACACTGAAGACGGGAAACAAGAAAAACCCAGATAATACGTTTTTTTCATCATATATCAATGTATTGAT